TCATTATACAATCTTCAAAAAATAATTTATAATCAATAATATATTCAGTGGCGTCTGACATTATAGGTGGGATATTGAAGGGATTCCCATTTCTTACCTTTATTTTTTAGGAGAACTGTGTAAGTTTGTCCCGCTTCGCTGTTGACCACACACACACACCTCATCTACTAAATTTACACACACACACAAAACAAAAGAAGCGGAATAACTTTCAAGTTATAACTTGTCAAGAACAAAAATATAAAACTAAAATGTAGGACTCATATTAATGAAATAATAATCAGCAGTTCGCACCCTCCCCCGCCCCACTGACAGGTTTTGAGCCCAGGACCCCGTTCTATTTACAAGGCAAGCGAGCGACCTCGTAGACCATTGAGCAGCCACTGGGATCCAACCCGATCGAATGGCCAGCCAGCCAGCCAGTGCATGATTTCTAACTTCTGTCAATTCACGTACGACATAGCGCGACTATTTCGCAATGTCTTCCTCGATGATTGAGTTACTGCCTCATCTTCAACCTGATGTACTCTACTGATCACGGCTTCCCACTAGAACCGTCCCAGGTCACAGTCACTGCCTACCGGAATAGGGGCAGCAGTCGCAAGTTGGCATCAGATTAATTGATTTTCAATTATTGATTTTACAGTGGTTCTCTAACGCTGATGTCAGTCAGCTCATGATGAATGAAATCCTTCATCCAATCAAATTAAATCTCTAAAAAACAAAAAATGATTTTAAGTAATCGAGTTTTTGACCGTACATGTGTACTGGGGCAGTGTAAAAGTCGTGTACTACAGAAGAATGTATATTGGGTTTCGACTAGAGAATGCCGATAGTGCTACTATTATTAAATGAATGGTAAAAACGCAATTCAGATAGCATTTTGACCAAAAGACATAGAGATGCTCTGGATGTTCTCCGGGAAAATGGTAAAATGATAAGGGGTCAGGAGGGGGTTATCATGTAAACAAAGCGGATTACTTTGAGATGATGAGTACTACTACTATTCCTAATGATAATCTAAAGTTTCGAAAATAATCTCCTCTTCTCTGGATCCGATTGAAAAGAGAGAGAGAGAAACAGTTAGCGGAAACATTCAGAAGACTGAAGCAACAACAACAACAGCAGGGCTTCATCTCACAGAGTCAGTGTACATCACACTGAAAACCAGCTGGAACGTTCACACCAAGATTATATATGGCTCGCGCCTAAAGTGCACAAAAATGGTGTACCGCTTCGACGACCAGTATCAGGTATGTTAAATTCACCATAGCATCATCGCGTAGCCAAATGATTAGTCGAAATCTCACAGCCTCGTCCTACCGAGTTGGTGAAATACAGTGGTGTAAAGGATACTTTTTGGATTTGTTGAAAGGATAAAAGATTTAAATGTTTTGACAATAAATTCATGATATCATTTGTTGATGTACCTTCCTTATTCACCAATGTATACCACTTATGGAAACACAGGACTTTGTATTCGAAGAACTCATAAGACGAAACATCGATGTTGGCATTCCGATATCTTTTCTTATGAAGGAGCTTCTCTTGAAATGCACAATGAATGTCCACCTTTTGCATTTAATAAGGAACTATATAGACAAATTGACGGTGTGGCAATGGAGTCACCACTAGGACCCATTCATTCTAGCAGACATTTTACTTGCGAAACTAATAAACTGCGCCTTTGAAGGCTGTTATTAATCAACTCGAATTCTATTGTCGGTACATGGATGGCTGATGCATTTTTGATTATGAAAAATGAGGGGGAAGCCGAGGGGCAAAGAATCATCCTGGATAAATTTAACGACCTTCATCCTAGAATAAATTTTACTATTGAGAAAGAGAGAAAAAGACTAGTATTTCATTCCCTAGACTATATCCTTATGACTAGAAAAGAGGATGGCACAATAAGAAGAGAAAGCGTATATAGAAAACCTACATCAACTGACTGTCAGTATACTCATTTTTTCAGCTTCGTGCATTTGAAATACATACACAATCTGATAAAGTGCTTGGTCCACAACAGAGCAAGAGCGATTCGCTCTGCTTGGATGAATGTCTTGATAAGAAAGTTATTCATAATAAACGGTTGGTTGATGAGTGGAAATAGTTATCCAGAAAAGTTTGTTAATACAAATTTGAATATAAAATAAAAGCAGATCAAGGTACACAAACAGTTCCGAGGCAAAGGGAGGCCTTATTCTCACAAATGCAGTCAGTTCCCCGGGGGACAACATCAGCGAGATAATAACACAGCGCCTTAGAAATGAGGCGGTAAAACGAAAAGCATTCAGTGCTGCTCTTAAGAAACCACTAACCTCTATTTCGCGTTCGTTCGGGAGTAAAAGACGAACTGACTAATTTCGCCTTCTCCTCCTCCATGTGTGTGTATCTACCAATTGAACTGCTCCTGTAAAGTGAGCCAGTCAGTCACTTGCATAGGCCATACATAATTGTACGGCGTGTTTCTCATCGAGCTTCTCGACATCACCCTGCACAGTAGTTGTTGGTTAAGTAAAGGACAAACAAAATCTATTCTCAGCGCTATTCTATCCATCCCACTCATCTTGTGGATACACAACACAAGACTGATTGATGTTGACAAGCCGGGTTTGAGAGTCATTTACCGCACGCCGACAAACAAATCTCAATTTCGCTTTAAGAGTAGTGCGACTACTAAATATTTCTGAAGCTGGCTGGCTGATCGTTGGGATCCATATTAACAAGCCTAATTTGTGTGCATCCGAAAGAAATTGGTTGGTTCAGACATTGTCCATACCAGCTTGGCCATCCATCCCTATTTGAATGATCCTCAAATTTTGTGGAATTTTCCTAATTTTAATTCATATTCTGTTTGCTACTATTTCTTTATTGTTATTATTATTATTATCATTTAAGCATTTTTAATAAACTGTGGTGGTGATTCCATTGTGATCTTACTTTACAAATCGATATTTTTTATAAAAATACACGCCGATATTGTTATTGACTACTACTAATCTAGAATATTCGATGTATGTAAACATATACATATATGTATGTATAATTGTAGAGCCAGAAGAGGAGGAGGAATTTATCGAAAAGGGGATATTCTTTGTCCTGGCTCAATTATAGTTTGTGTGTTTTATAGATTGAGATGTCTGAATGAATATTTTTGCTCACATATTAAAAATTGTACACAGTTGAGAAATCAGTGTTACCTGCTGTCAATTGAATAATCATGCGTAGACTATGTGGTGCTCGGGAAGCACAAACATGAGAGGAGCCAGGCAGGCTTTAGACCAGGAAGAGGGTGTATTGATCTGATCATATCTTCACCCTCCGACAGATTCTAGAACATAGGCATTCCTACCGGCGTCCAACAGTCATTAAATTTCTTGACCTAAAGGCAGCATTCGACCCTGTCGACCGAGAAGTTCTCTGGAGATGCTTGGCTGTGAATAGAATCCCGAGAAAATATATTGCACTGATTAAGGCACTCACTCTACTCGTACTCATGCCATCGGCCAGGTGAGCGCTTACGGCGAGTTGTCATCTGAACTGGTGACGACTAGTGGTGTCCGTCAAGGATGCCCATTATCCCCTTTTCTATTCAACTTCATCATAGATGTACTAATGGACTTAACCCTAACTCACTTCAGAGACTCAGGGATTGATTTGCTACTGGGGAGGGAATAATCTCGTTGACGTAGAATATGCAGACGACATATTCCTTCTAGGCGAAGATGCTGACAACATGCAGAGTCTTCTGAACACCTTGAGCAGCAATCTACGAATGTTTGGCATGCAAGCGATTCGCTCCCGCCAAATGCAAGATGATGTTACAGGACTGACTGGACTACACTGACTCCTAGATTAGAAATAGGGAGTGAAGTGCTAGAGCACGTTGACCGCTTCACTTATTTGGGAAGTACCATCAGCCAGTGCCAACGGGTTGATCTCTGACGAAATCTCAGAACGGTTACAGAGGGCTCGTTTCGCATTTGCCAGTTTACTCCGTCTCTGGCGTAGACGAGATATTCGACTATCGACCAAAGGGCGGGTGTACTGCTCATCAGTCCACTCCGTCCTCCTTTATGGCCAGCTGTGAGACCTGGCCACTGAGAGTGGAAGACATGAAAAGGGTGACTATCTGTCTTTGATCATAGGTGCCTGCGTTCTATTTCCCGTGTGAAGGGACATAATAAGGTGAGCAATATTGAGGTTAGGCGTTGTCGAGTTCTAGGTAAACAGGGGAAATGAATCGACGAAGTCGTGAAGTTACAAGGACTGAGATGGTTAGAACATGTATTACGTATGCCAAGTCATCGCCTTCCTCGACGAGCAATGTTGGCGGATATAGGGTCAGGCTGGAAAAAAGCTAGCGGTGGTCAAACAAAAACTTGGCACCAGTCAATGAAGCTACAACAGTTGGTCTAAGCCACGTAGGAAGGTGTAGACTTCCAGGCTGGGGTCCTCGGGACGGTAGAAATCTATGGTTGGAAACAATTGGTGACATGGTTCAAACTCATCGTTCTCAGTGGCTGGCGCAGATGCATCCACTCCTTGTGACTTATGATTTCCAATGAAACTGTTTTGTTTTTCTTTATTACTCCTTTGTCTCACACCTCTGTTTACTGTCCCTATTATGCATTTCTTCTCTTGCTTTGTGTGCTACATGGAGGGAGTGTGGCGACTTGAACTGGTGCACATCGGTGCAAAGTTCTATATCGAAAACAGACAGACAGACAATTGAAATATATTTAATCAAATCTGTTTTATTCAAAAAAAGAGTAAAAATAAAAAATAGCAAAGAGAATAATTGATCTGTGTTTGTTTAAGTTTTCAAGCCTGAAGGAGTGAACATGGAAAAACAGGAAGAAGAAGAAATGAAGAGAACAGGGAAACACCAGGACAAAGTAAACTAATTAAGAGATGATGATTATGCGGAATGCGTTTCTACTATCACGTTTAATCAATAATAATAATAATAATAATAATAATAATAATAGTAATAATCACCAAATAGAATCATCTCCCCAGACAACATGTTTATACTTGGCTTTCAATGCTTCTTCCAGATCACTGGCTTGTACGCTATCACGAGTTTCACAGATACACTTCACTTGGACCTCAAACACACTCGACTTCAACCATGTACGATCTTGACTGATGTCTTTAATGCTTAAAAAAAAAAGAAATAATCGTAAGCCCGTTGTGAGAGGGAAACTCATTATATGTTAATCAAATAGTGTGTGGTCACAAGAAACGTATATTAGTTATCTAGTGAAATTGTAATGATAGAAGACAAGGGCCAGTCAACAGCTAGTTTATTCACGAAATCAACCCATATTTATCGATTTTCATGTACATTTATTTTTATAGATTATTCTATGCAAACAAACACAGTCTTCTGATTGGTTGTTTCTCTTTGTGTCTGTTTCTTCAAGGTCAGATCATCTATCCACTATCTGCGGATTGTATCCGCCTACGCGGAGAAAGTGTTCTGTGATTGGTTGTTGAGTCAGTCAGTCAGTGTTTTTCTTGTTCTTGTTTTCACACGATCAATATTTGGGATATAAACATTGACGTAAATTTGTGTCTACCAGTTTTCGACTGCCAGATAGCTCCCACCACAGTATCAAGGGGGAACAAATTATCAGAGAAAAAGTATGCGGGGAAAACGAAAAGCCCAAGATTGGGGTATGATAATGCAATGTTTTCTAATATCGCACATTAAACTGAAATTAGTAACTAAGTAACCTGGCTATCATATATGTTATATGTATATATATATATATTTCTTGACCTAAAGGCGTCATTCGATTCTGTCGGGAGAGAAAATTTCATTGCACTGATTGAGACACTCTACTCGAACTCAAGCAGCCTGATGAGGTCTCTATTCCCGTGTGAAGTGGTATAATAAGGTGAGCAATGTTGAGGTTAGGCGTCGGTAGAGTGCTAGGTACGTCGAAGGGGAAATCAATCGACAATGAGGCTGTGAAATTACATCCATTGAGATGGTTGGGATATGTGTTACGAATGAATACCTAGTCATCGCCTTCCTCGACAATGGGCAATGTTAGCTGGCTGATATAGGATTGGTCAGGCTGGAGAAGAGCTGGTGGAGGTCAAACCAAAACATGGCTTCATCAGTCAATGACATCCACAACAAGTAGTTTAATTTACATAGGAAGGTGTAGACTTCTTGACTCACTGGTTGGGGTCCTCGGGACGGTAAAAACCAATGAGGGCTGGAAACAATTGGTGATGATATGGCTCAAAGTGATCGTTCTCAATGGATGGCTGGCTGCCTGGGGTAGATGCATCCACTCCTTGTGACTTATAATTTCCAATGAAACTATATTGTTCTTCGTTATTACTATTCCTTTGTATTACTACACCTCTGTTTACTTACTGTCTCTATTATGCATTTCTTCTACTTTCCTCCGTTGCTTTGTGTGCTACAAGGATTTGAGTTTGGCGACTTCAACTATGTACAGAAAAATGGGATAGCCATGGAGTCGCCTCTCTCTGTCCACTCCTAGCCGATTACTTCATGGCGAGTCTCGAAAACAACATCCTCGATCCATTGATAAGTCAACTTCCCTTATATACAGGAGACACGTAGATGGTAAGTTTATAATCTGTGATGAAAAATCCGATTTAGATTCTCGCCTCAAAACCTTTAACGCAGTGCACTCATCAATAAGATTCACCTTAGAACGCAAATCGAGCAATGCATTTTCATTCCTCGATGTACTACTCATCACCAGAAGACACGACTGTATGGTCCAAAGATCGATATATCTGTCGTAAGCCAACATGTACTGGATAGTTCATCAACTTCCAGAGCTTTGTCTCATTGATCCGAAAGCAAAACCTGGTACGTACATTATGTTCAAGGATTAGAAAAATTTGCTCGGAAGATATGGTAGAGAACGAATTATATGTTTTACTTGAAACCTTTCTAGAGAATGGGCATTCTCCAAGATTTATTGACAAAAACATGAAGGAGAAGCCTCCGGTGTCAAACATCGCAACGGTTACTTTGAAGACTCTTTCTTCATGAACCTGGAATTCAAAAGTGACATCTCAACAGAAGAAAGTTTCAGAAACCACCTTTCTAAATGTCTGAAGAAGACATTTCCAACAGCTACCCTACGTATCACATTCTCCTGCAGACAGTTACTCCAGTCTAACGCTAAGGAGAAGATACCACCGCTTTTGGCCACTTCACTGTGTATTTATAACGATTTATTTGCTCGTGTGGAGCAAAGTATATCAGCCGTATGCAACGTCAAGTCCACAAACGTATTCTGGAACACTCACTGTCCAGCTTGGTTAGCTAGCTAGCTAGCCAGAGAAAAAAAGAAGACGAATAGCAGCAGCTCTATCCTCGAACACTTTGTCATATTCGGACACCAGCGAGCACCACCACATTAAATGTTTATGAAATGGTATGATCATAGAAACATATAGTATGAAGGGGTAAGCAAATATCAGGTAAAAAGTATGCGGGGAATACGAAAGGCCTCAAATTAGGTCATAATGCAATGTTTTTTTTCTAATATCGCACATTAAACTGGAACGAGTAATTAATTAGGCTTGGCTATAAAAAAATAAATAGAAATATCGATAGGATTCGGTTCTTCTGATACTTGAGTTTGAAGTTTTAGTAGCCGTGGAATTTTCAACTGGGTGGGGGTAGCAAGCTTCACCTCAAAGTTCCCATCTTTCTTCAGCCTACTACTTCACCAAGCTGAGTGAGGTAGGTCTACGAGTGAGTCGGCTGGTGATCGAATCGCGGATCATGCATATAATATAGTTGTCAAGTATTCTAATGCTGCACCGCCAACTCAAGTTAGCTTGATTAATATCATCGGCTAAATTCACTCGCTAATGTGAAATGAAAATGATTTCCCCCGAAATATGCCAGACGGCTAAAGGTATGACAAAAAGATGGAAATAATACTGGGATGAGAGCAGCCTGCTAGCCAATTGGTTGACATTAATCTACATAAATGTCTAGGTCATTATTATGGGCCGTGAGAAAATATGAACAAGGCTGTTTCAACAACCAATCACAGAAAACCTAAACGTGACCAAATATGATTCGCAGATAGATGGCTCCACTCCACTTTCCGAGAAACTCGAAAACAAAACAACCAATCAGAAGACTGCGTTTGTCGACTTGACTAGGCTATAATAATGTATGTGAAATTCATATAAATACGTATTGATTTTCGTAATAAAAGGATCTGTTGTCTGGCCCTTGTCCTCTGTTGTTACAATACAATCACGTGATATATTTGTCTCTTGTCGACAAGCTGGTTTACTAAAATCGGTATTTACATCGCACTTGCAAAGTACACGTAAAGGATACACGGATTGGATAACTTTTCACAATCTTCTGTAGTTTGGTTTGCGAGGGTTACATATGTTTTGTATTTTACGAGTTGATCACGCGTGGACTGATATCAATGAGGAGGTGGAATGTGAAGCAGCATTGAAAACCAACTGGGGCATTGGGGAGTATTGGATAGCCAGCCAGCCTAGTTTGCGAATCATCGGAATTACTCACACACTGCATCGGGGTTCGAACCTAGGGCCTTTCGGTTACAAGGCAAGCTCGTATACCATTAGGCCGCCACTCACTGGGACTCGACCCCATTCAATGGCCAGCCAGTAGATGAATTCTGACTTCCACCATTTCGTGGTTTACCGTGACTGACACCGAACAACGTCGTCAGTGGGACATACATCCTCACATGTCTCATATGGATGTACCTCACTGGTCATGATTTCTCACTAGAAGTGACTCCAGGAATCTCCATCCTGTAGCTAGTGGTCACTGGCGAACATGAGATTAATTTTCAATAGTTTGGTTTGTAAGGATTAGTTATGCTTTCATGAGTTGATGATGGAATTCGTGACCAGTGAGGTGCATTCAGATGTCACGTGTGAGGATGGATTTCTCACCAACGACACTGGTTGATGTCAGTCGCGCTAAATTAGGAATCGGTAGAGGTTAGAATTCATGCTCTGGCTGGCCATTGAATCGGGTCCCGCTCAGTGGCTGAATTGTAAATGAGCTAGCTAGCTTGCCTTGCCCTGGCACTTTAGTGGGTGCGTACTTCCGATGATTCCCAAACTAGGCTGGCTGATGAAACAAACAGGTGACTGCCCAGTACTCCCCTACGCCCCAGCTGGTTTACAATGCTGCTTCTCATTCCAACTCCTCATTGATATCAATCCGTGTGTGATCAACTTGTAAAACGCGAAACAAACATAACTTACGCTTACAAACCAAACCAGAGGAAAATAAATTAAGCTGTCTCACTGTCTCATTGCATAATACACATCATACATACACAGTATAATAAAAGGCACAGTTCACAGGCCACATTAACACACACACACACACGTTTTTAAATACAGAGCTCATAATGAATGATGATAATCGTTCAAAACCACAAAATTGATCAGTGTGAACACCATTATGATATCATGAAATCTGACCATACTAGAATAGTTGATGTAATAAACTATCATTAGTTATTTGATTAATGAATGCACTTTATCAAATAAAAAAAATAATAAATGAATAAATTAAAAATTGCATAACATTTTAAAAGATACACAAGCTAACTGATTGTTAAATTATGCATATATGTACCTAGCATACTGTGATAATTTATCATACTACTTAAATTCTGTGCCTTCACTAATTAAAGTAGTATATCAGTGAATATACAAGGAAAGTGTATGCATTATGAATAATAATGATATTATCATTGATTTCTTCGGGCTCGCGGAGATTGACCTCCTGTAGGACTGAACTGTAGTCGATATTTTTATTGGACACTAGTCAGTAGTGACTAGTGTGACGACGTGTCTGGCTAGTTCTTGATGTTTGTTGCAGACTGAATTCTAACAGTCAGTCAGTCAGTGAGGCTTGCAATGTGGCCACCGTGTCACTAGGTGGCTAACTGACTCACCATCATCACGGTGCACACATTGATTTGATGATATTAGATAGTGTTGGAGACAATCGGTGGCAGAGGAAGCCTTGCCTAGACCTAGGGTTTGTGCTGTTAGTTGGAACTTATCGGTCAGTCATCAAGTCACAAATGCAACCATATTGAAGGAACAACTCATTTCCCACCCATCTGAGATTCGAACCTGCGTCATCCGGGGTGTACTGCAGTCAGAGACGCAGTTACCACTGAGCCAGCTATTCGGGCTGGATGTTATTAGAAGAGAAGAAAGAAGAGAACACGAAGTTCAGCAAAAATATCTGCCTTTCCGGCGATTTCATTTTCGAAAGTTGTACAATCCCATTTAAATGCATAATTTTACATGTATACAATACATGTTTGATTCTATATAATTATGACGGCGAATAAAAGGTATGTAATTTTGTTTCTAAGCCTCTCGTAAAAACCATATCTACTTGAAAATAATTATCACCTTTTATTCACCGTCGTAATTTTGTGGAATCAAACACGAATTGTATCCATATAAAATTATGTATTTAAATGCGATTGTACAGCTACTTTTGGAAATGAAATCGCCGAAAAGATATCTTTGTTGAACTTTGTGTTCTCTTCTGTCTAATGAATTCTCTCAGTCAGTCAGTGAGGATTGCAATGTGGCTACCATACCACTAGGTGGCTAACTGGCTCACCATCATCACGATGCACACATTGATTTGATAATATAAGATAGTGTTGGAGGCAATCGGCGGTACCGAGGGGGCCTCACTCAACCTAGGTTTCTTACCAGTGGGCTAGTTGGATTCCTCTGCCGCCGATTGCCTCCAACACTATCTAATATCATCAAATCAATGTGTGCACCGTGATAATGGTGAGCCAGTTAGCCACCTAGTGGTATGGTAGCCACATTGCAAACCTGACTGACTGTTAGAATTCAGTCTGCACCAAACATCAAGAACTAGCCAGACACCTCACACTAGGTAGTCAGTGACTAGTTTCCAATCAAAATACAGCCCTAGATTAGCTAGCAGGCTGACTTTGGTTATATCATTAATAAAAATAATAATAATTTTTGTATTTGCATTTACAAGAAACTGTTGATTGCCACAAAAAAAAATAAACACCGAGATTAATAATGATAAACACTTACCTAACTCCAATTTGCTTCAACAAGACACACAAGTCTGCAATACATCCAGGTTGATCAGGTATAACAACTATGAAACGACACAGACGACCTTCAAGTGCCAGTCCCCTTTCAATGACACGACCCAGCATTGAAGTATCAATATTACCACCGCTTAGAAGGCAGACAACTCTAAAAAACAGAAAAAAGAATAATTCAACATTTTCCTACCTATCCAATAATCAAGTATAAAAGAACAAAGTATACCAGGTGGAGGATTTGATTCATCGTGAGCTGACTGACATCAATTGGTTAGAGAACCATTGAAAAACCAACCAGGGAGTACTGCCAGACAGCTAGATGTTTCCCCCCACCCCGTCCGACTAGTTTGGGACCAGCTATTCAACAGTACGCACCACCCCACCCCACTGATAGGATTTATACCCAGGTCCTTCTGGTTACAAGGCCAGCGACCTCGTTGACCATTGAGCAACTGAGAACCTATTCAATGGCCAGCCCACGAATTCTAACTTCTTTCATACAATGATTCCCGTTTATTTGATTTCGTCGTCGGTTCTGATCAGCACAGCTGCGTAAAACCTGAATTCTTTAATAAAATAACAAATAAAAAATGGACAATTCCAACAAAAGTTTGTCCATTAGCAAGCGCATATTGTCACAGCGTCATAGGGGAATAAGGCGTTGCAATTTACAAGGTGTTTAAAGTGTTACGACATGAAAAATTAATTAACAGTAACAAAAGAAAATTAGAAATAGTTACGTAATTAGGCAAGAGAAGAACAAAATATCGATGTACATGAGGTCAGATGAGAGAAAAGTTGATGACTTGATCCAGTAAGCAGAACTCAGAAGATCAAGAAAAAAATTATCGCCTAAGAGAGTTAAGCGAAAAATAACCGGGTGGGGGTGGGTGAAGGAGTAAAAAGAAAAGTTAACAAAATTACATAACAAAGAGAGTTACTAAGATGAGATGAGTCACCAGGGTAATTGAAGTCAAACAACGGATTCTTTTTGGACACACATAAGTAGTCAGGCAGACTTCAATCGTTTTATCGCTATAGCTTCAGGAAACCTGAGAAGACTTGAGGTAGTATTTTGTCTATTAATTTTGTAATTTTAAATGATTCCAGCACATTTACTCTGTGCTGTCCGTCCTAGTTTGAGACGGTACACATCGGTACACATCCACCGCACTGACAGGGTTCGAACCCAGGACCATGTTCTGGTCACAAGACCAGCAAGTGAGCTCGTAGACGACTGAGCAGTCACTGGGACTCAGTCGAATAGCCAGCCAGTGAATGAATTCTAATCTTCTGCCAATTCATGCACGACATAGTGCGACCATTTCACAATATGTCTTCTTCGATTAGTTACTGTTTCTTCCTCTTCTTCAACCTGCTGCACCCTACTGATGAAATCCTTCATCCAATTGAACAAAATCCCTACAAAACTAATACTTGAAAAATAGTATATATTATTTGGAATTTTCCACCTTCCTACATGGTGATGAGGGAAAAAGTTGTATTTCTACTTCATGTATTTCTTCTCTGTCTTTTAAGTGTTGATTTATAGGGATTTAATTGATTGGTAAGAGGATTTCATGGCGAAGTACAAGAACCCAAGGTATTCCGTTTGCAAGGTAAGGTCGTTGACCATTCAGCCACTGGGACCCAGTCCAGTGGCCAACCCATGAATTCTAACCTCTACCAATTCGTGATTTTAGCGTGAACACAAGCCAGTGTCATCAGAGGCAAGTATTCGTCCTCACGCCAGACCTAGAAGGTACTTAGTGGGTTGGAACCCCGGTGGTGGGTGAGTACTAATGAACAATTCCAAACGGGGACGTAACAGCTGTCCACTACTCTCTGGTTTCCAACGGTTTTCTAACTGACGTGAATCTGTGATACATCTTTGACGAATGCAGTAACACTCTTGATAACTTCTTTTTCTTAGATGACACAGTTACCAAAAATCATTTGAATCACAAGGACAGTTTTAATTAGAAAAAGATGTAGAGGTAAATCAGGGCTAAATAATCATAAACTCAAAGGGTTGATATGTTCTTTAGCCTTAGCTCCAACATCATATACAGAGAGAGAGAGAGACTCTACACTGATGCTGCCAGCAGTTGAAAGAACAGCTTGTCCTATTGATGGGTTCTTTTAATGCTTGATGAAGCAGCAGTATACACATATCTATTATGCGTCGGTTGTACACTGGTAAGATGCTCTGCAATCACAAACACAGTTCAAGGTCCGACCCCCCGGCTGACGCATTCCTATGCCTCATTTTAATTAAGCATGGAGGCGAAGTTCAACAATAGCGTCCGTCCCAGGAGTGTGAACGCTCCAATGACCATGAACGCATGCTAGTCGTTGGCTAACGGCATCTGTCATTTCATCATAGGTGAAATATCAACCCTATATTCATCGAATAAGGAACAAATTTCACCCAGATCACGCTTTTAATTACTGTTTGGACAATGTGTTAACATCTCGTTAGGGTTAGGACTAGGGCTAATGTAGGCATCGGGGTTAGGGTTAGACTTACGGTCATAATTGGGATTACGGTTAAGTTTGCGGCAGAATAAGGATTGTCATTAGGGTTAGGATTAAGGTTAGGGTTGCGATTAGGGATAGATTAATAGTTAATGTCGTTTATTTCAATTTGTTTTATTATCCTCATTTTCCTGTTAAGTAGTCGTCAATCCTCTTCCTGGGAACCATAGTAATTCAACCGAGGGATTTGGAGAGGACTACACAGCAACAGAAGAGAGATTTGCGATTCACAAAACAGCCAATCTTCAGTCACTTCGGTGAATACATCTACAGAAACTAGTCCAACTTAGCAACTGATACTCCTCACATTATAACTGGGACGTATTTTTAAGTCATGTCAGAGAGAGAGATAACCTGTTTAGTAATGTGTTTTCATGCATTTTCTTGTGAATATAAGTCATTTTTTGTGCAAAAATGCCTCATTTTTATGATTGGCGGGCTGAAGGTCACTCGTGCGTTCGCATCCCTTGGGACGCTATTGTTGAACTTTGCCGATTTCATGATTAGCTGATTTTGGTTAGAGAACCATTGGAAAAAGCTCCAGTGAATACTGGACAGCCAGCTATTTCGTACGAGTAGTTTAGGTCTCCTTAGCAATACGCGTCCACCCCGCTGCCAGGTTTCCAACCCACGACCTTCTGGTTGGAAGGTGAGGCCGTAGACAAATGAGCCACTGAGACACGAACCCATATCCAGCCAGTGCATGAATTTTAACTTCTGCCAATTCACGGACCACATACCGTGATTGCCACTAGCTAATGTCTTCAGTGGCGAGTATTTGTCCTAACACCCGACGTGCTTCTGAACTCTCCTACTGGTCACGACTTCTCACTAGAACCCACCCAGGTAACTACCTGAATAGGGAAAGTCACCAGTGAGCATCTCATATATATTCAATTGTTGGTTTGTTGGGATTTGATTGATTGGTTACAGTACTCCCCGATTGGTTTTCCAATGGTTCTTTTTCTAACCAAAGTCAGCTCATGATGAAATTCTTCTCTGTCTGTCTGCCTGGCTATCTATCTGTCTGTCTGGCTATCTGTCTGTCAATGTCTCTATCTCTCTCATTGCAATGAAAACGTTTTGATTCCCCGGAAAATTTGAAAATAAAGATGTAGGATAGGCTCTGTCATGAGAATGTGTACACACAGTAAGTTAACCCTGTCGATGAAGCCATTCAAACTGAGATAAATACTGTAATATGATGTGCGACAAAAGTTTTGGTTGTTTATTTTATAAAATAGTCCATGAAATATATAAATCTCAAAGGGGTGTATGTGTGTGCGTGTGTCGAAATAATAAGATTCGTAAACGATTAAAGCATTACGCAACATAGTATTGCCATGGAACCTCCTTTGGGTCCTCTATGTGTAGCAAATTGCTTCCAGATGTGTACTTTTCAAAAAGGACTGATGAAACTCTGAGGAGAATCTGAATATATTCATGATTCCTTGATGGAGATGGGCTGGTTATCCGAGTAGTTTCATAATGAAACATATGAAAACACCAGAGAGAAAACCAATCTGAGACTCTGACTGCACGTAAAAAGCCCCTACTTATTTGTGGTGAGAGCAGCCTGCTAGCCAATTGGTTGACATTAATCTACATCAGTGTCTAGGTCACTAATATGGGCCGTGAGAAAATATGAACAAGGCTGTTTCAACAACCAATCACAGAAAACTTAAACGTGACCAAATATGATTCGCAGATAGATGGCTCCACTCTACTTTCCGAGGAACTCGAAAACAACCAATCAGAAGACTGTGTTTGTCTACTTGACTAGGCTATAATAATGTATGTGAAATTCATATAAATACGTATTGATTTTCGTAATAAAAGGATCTGTTGCCTGGCCCTTGTCTTCTGTTGTTACATATTAAGTTACAATTTAATGGTGACTTGTCAACTGAGATTTTATTCCAGAGACCTTCTAGGAGTATACAGAGAGTGTTTTACGTAGCATACATATATTTGTCATTCTCTAGCCGACGAAGTATAAGCTAGATAGTTTTGCCACATCTATGTGCATTTATCAATTGAACTGCACCTGCGGTGATAGTTATGTTGGGCACCCTACTACTAGACAGCTTTACGTCCAAAAAAAAATGGAATTTTTCATCATCTTCATGTTTCATAGTGAAAGTGATGGGACTTTTGGGTACATTGTTGAAAGAGTTTAATAGAGAAAGAAGTGTGACTTAAATCATTGCATACAATGAATACAGTGTCATAAACGTATCTATAGTGGGCTATTGTTTCGCAAATTGCACACTTGAGCTTTGTCTGTCACATACTGGCCATAAAAAATATCAGCTAATATCAGACCCAGTGAAATCCGCATTGCCACAACATCAATCTGGCGATGAATTTTGTTGTCAAACTAGAATTGTATATCATTAGTACATAAAACGAGAGAGAGAGAGAGGAAGGGTGGCAGGGAGAAAGAATGAATAAATGCAAGTTTATGACTGTGAAAATTTATGGATTTGGCTGTGAAGTAGGCAAGACAACACCGCAAGATAACATTGACTATTATATACGCAAAACAGTATTCACTTTACACTATGAAAGACTCGCTTCATTTCTCTGGAAGTGTGAACCACATATTAGCGT